TTTGTTGTCATAGTTCAAGGTTTCTGAACTTTTGTGTAAGAGTTCATGCTTCAGAAAGCCACAAGAGTAAGAGATCAGAATTTTATAATTTAAATCATATGACAACCTGAGTTATAACTGTCACTGTTAGTGACCACTGTAGAATAAAAAAAGAATTAAAATATGATGTGCTATGTTGTTGACATAGGAAACGTGCTGTAGTGTGACACATAATTGCATGAAAACATAATTTCTCTGGGAATCCCGTTCACTAGAATTTGCCAAATGCGTAATTCCAGTATCATAGTTATTAAGAAAACAGAAAATAATTGTCACTAAAAAGGTTGTGTTAATTTCTGCATTCATTCCCTAGTTTGATCTTTGGGTTACATGCACTGTTTCATAGCATAACAGCCCGCTCAGTTAGTCAGTGGCCCCCTCTTGTGCTCTGGCCTGTGGAGTTCAGTTGTATCTTTTTTTTAGAGAGATCCCTGATAACTAGGGGTCCTGATTTTTCCTAATTAAAAAAAAAAAAGCAAATTCTCTGATTAAAAAACCACCCAAAATCCATCATTAAAATGACATGCCACTAACACACACACACACACACACACACACACACACACACACACACACAATTGAACACAATTTTTATTGATATATGTGTCATTTTAAAGCAATTTGGAAGCCTACCAGTGCCTCAGTTATTCTAGTAAAATAAATTCAAAGTACCTGTACATTTTGGTATTTGATTTTGGGATTTTTATCATGGAAAATCAGAGCTCCCTCTGCCCCCTTAGCTCACAAGGACCCAGATCCAGGCCCCTCACTCCCAAGCTACAGTCCCCAAGCCATGTTGGTGTTCCTCACTCCCCACCCACAGCCCCTTGGCCCTGGTGGTGCCCTGTTGGTACCCCTGCCCCCGCTATCCTGCTGAAGCGGGCCCCCAGCTGCCAGGGGCATGGGGCCAGGGACCCAGATCCACAGCCCCCTGCAGCAATGCCTGAGCCCCTGGCTGCTGCCCATGGGTGGCTGCTGCAGCCTGAGCGGGGAACCCAGCTCCCCCTCCCCTGCAGGCAGCAAAGCCAGAGCGGAGCCCGTGGGGGGAGGGGTGGTAGGAGCTTTCCTGCCCGGCCCCACTCTGCCCTGCCACATGCCAGGTGCTGCCTGCCAGGCCACGGAGGCCCCGAGAGAGGGTAGCAGGACGGGGAGCCTGAGCCCAGAGCACGTAGCCTGCACCCACCCCCGCACACATGTCTGGGGGGCATGTGCCCTCTCTGCCCCCACCAGGAGTGCACACAGTGGTAGGGAGCAACCCTTGCAGCTCCCAAATGAGCTGCCCTCAGCCCTGTCCCACTCCCTGCAAGAGTCTCCCGAGAGACCAGCATAGGAGCTGGTCTCTAGGCTGCCTGGTAGTCATACGCACGGTGCCCCCTGCCTGATTGCCCCTTCCCCCCACCCCCAGCCTTGCAGACTGGACCTCTGCCAGCCTGCAGAGAGCTCCTTACAAAAGAGCAAAATCCATGTGTTTCTCTGTTGAAAAGAAAACCCTGTATTTTTCTCCAGTAAAAGGGAAAATTTGTGGGGGGGTTATATTTTTCTGTGGGAAATGGAAAACCGTGATTTCTGCTTATAACAGCTAGGGTGTTATAATTTATTACCCCCAAAATAGTCCAAAAGCTCCTATCAGACAAAAGCCTTCAGTGGGAAGAACGTGTTCTTTTGAGACTGATCTCTTGAGCCAGTAAAGATCTGTACTTCTTTGAAGACAGGATTTGCCAGTCAGTGAGGTTTTCCTGGGCTTGTCTTCCTGTTGAGCACCTGAGATGGCTATGTAAGATCCAGGAGAAGAGCAAAATTCAGTGTCACTACAATATGTCCCTCACTTTCAGCCTAAATATGGCATAATCAAATGGTTAAGTGGAACTCACTGTTGCTGGGCACAGATCATTTCAGTGGAGCATTGGCCAGGCTTTCCTATCCCAGCTGTTGTGTGTTGCAACTACTTGTCCTACAACTGCTGGTATACCTGAGCTTAAATACTAATTCTGTTATACTTTATTTTTTAAATTATGCTAATGTCCATAATGCTGTCTATTAAGTCTTGTCCTAAGTCATTGAATTTAGCCATGGCTTGGACATACAAAAATTGCTTAAAAGTTCCATTTTTGTCAAGGTATTACTTCAACAAAGGATGTCAGCTGCAAGACCCTTGTTCAGGCAAGGATGAAAGATTATGGTCTGAGTTGTATGTTTAATTGGATTTCTCTCACTTCTTCATTCTAGCTGCCAATTTGGTTTCTCTTTTATTCTCCTCCCTTCTTTTTTCTTAGCAGCCAAAAGCAGTTTAATCACTGATGGTCAATCCTACTCCTCCAAAATATAATGCCATTTGTGCTGTGCAAGTGAGATAGGAGTCATGGTATAATTATTACAGTTTCTCTGCTCCCCTAGAAATAGATTCAAGCTCTGATCTATTCTCCCTGTACCCTCCCAGGAATTCATGTGCTGACACAAGAGGAGTAAAGCTTTTTGAATTTTGATCTGTGTTGTAAGGGCTACAAAAGATATGGGTCTAAGAATGAAAGGTAGGAGCTACCTTAGAAAGAAAGCTGGTGCTAAGGTCATTTATTGCAAGCAGAGCATGCATTTGGCTTCAGATTTTTTTTGTTCTGGGGAAATTTTAATTGCTGTTTTTATTTATTAAAAGTATTTTATATATAATATAAAAGCAGAACAACACACTCTTTACTAAGTTTGTTTACCAGCAGTATCTTATGCTTTCTCACTGTAAGGCAAGGAAAATCAGTTTCAGTGTTGTCTATTGTTTATTAAAATGCTGAGAAAAATTGAGCTAGGCGTTCTACAGAACTTAAAAGGGAACCCTGCTTTGAAAAGCATGCAATCTCAAAGTAAATGTAACGCAACGAGTGATAAAACAGGAAGATTGTGGCTGGAAAAGCTGGGAGGACATAAAATGTAAATAAAATCCTCTCATTGCTTATATTTGCCATCTATATATCTTGGTCTTGGTTTTCTTGTTATTTTAGTTGGTATACCTTGCAAGAAGGTGGGAAGATGCATAAGAGTGAAGGAGGAAAAAGAAAGAAAAGATGGAGTGATGGAGGAGAGTAAAGTGCAAGCAGGTAGATGAGGCAAGGAACAAGAATGAAAGTAGTAGATGCGTTCTTATATTGACAGAGTGCTGAGGACTTACCAAAACGTAATCAGATTGACTGGCCAGTTTGTGGCAAAATCAAAAAGATCAGATCAGTTTCTGATAGTGGCAGTAACTTGAGGAGTATATGCAAAGCATTCTAGAGTTCTTTCAGTGCAGGTAACCTGTGCTGGTGATGTTAGATGTTTCTGAGGTTGACTTCATGTCTGCTCTAATCGCCTACGTTAGGGGCAAGAGATTCACGCGTGGCCCTCAGGCTCCTCGCTGGCTGCCAATACCCACTATTGCTCCTGCCACTATGGCAGCGACGGTGTCTGATCTCTCCTTCCTGCTTATAGTTTCAACTTCATGACCCTGTTTCTAGAGGTGGAGAAATGTTGTGGGAGGGGCCTGGGGAGCCTGCTGTCCTGGGGGGTGAGAGGGGGGTGTTCTGTTGCCCTCATGGCACAGGGGAGGAATTTAGCGAGTGGAATCCCAGGGGGCCTACCCTCCTTATTCTACCCCACCCCCCCAGATGTGGCCTTTGGCTGCTCTGAACTTGGGACAGCCTTGGCCTGTGTAATATTGCTGCAAAAGCTGCCTATCTTGATGTAGGACATAAAATAATTAGGCTCAGTAAAAAGATATGCCTGTGCTTCAAACACACACTATAGGGCCACTAGTTGGGCACTTGTTGAAAATCTCTTTTTCAAATCATTGCAGCCTCAGTTGTTGTCAAGAAACTTTTAAACTTCAAAGGTACATGATGCAGGGCTTACAAGTTAACTTGTGGTGGCACAAAGGTACCACAAACCCAAATATGTTGGACATGTTAAGTAATAGGCTTTAATTTACAGCTTCAGTTATTTCTATGGGTAATGGGTCAGTCCATGACACTTGCACTGATTTGTTACAGAACCTTTGGCCAGTAGGCTATATATATTTGTGTTACATTACTGTTTGAATGATTGCTTTTTTCAGAAGTTCCGTTTTGGCAAAGAGGAAGAGTCTTAGAAAGATTGATCTCTGAGACCATTTCTTTTTCTTTTTCACTAAGGAAGTTGGATAAGCCCTCTTCAGAAAATTTGTATCATACCAAAAAAACCCAACCCCAATCCTAAAAGTTTGCCATTGCACAAAAATGGGTACTGTCCCTGCCACTGTAACAGTGGCATTCTCATGTAAAATCTTGCCTCAAAATTATGTTCTTTCATCATGTTACTTTTTAACTGACTAAGAGCGATTCCTATGGTATGGTTGCCTTGTACAGCAGTGTCTATGGAGAAAAGTCTTCTATTCAAACAGTTTTTTCATTCATTTTGAGATATGATATACACAGTTTTGGTGTTGACAAGTTAAAGTTACAGTAGCAAATAGTCATTGGTAAGTGCTTTCCTTGAACATTTTAATTGATGAGAAAGTATACCTAGTACTGAATTCGATACTTTGCAAATGCATCTGAAGTCTTCCATTAGCTGCTGACTGAAAGAGCTGGTAATATTGGGTCAGGTTTGTTGGTAAGGGCAATAATTCTATTCAGGTGTTAATGTGCAACTGTGACCTTGTTTGGTCTTGTATGATTTGACTTCTTGACTCATGTCTGCTTTTCTTGGATCTCCTAACAGATGCCACCTCAGTATGGTCAGCAAGGTGTAAGTGGCTACTGCCAACAGGGCCAACAGCCATATTACAACCAGCAGCCACAGCCTCAGCATCTGCCACCCCAGGCACAGTATCTGTCACAGGCCCAGCAGAGGTACCAGACACAGCAGGTAAGCATATTCAAACCCTGCTCACAGTTGCCCTAACGCTCTTAAAAGCAGTGTTTAGAGGATGGAATATTTTTCTCAACGGTTACTATTTATTTTTTTAACCTATTCTAGAACTTAAAACTAGGACATTCTGTTTTTAGAAAGTCTTGGTGTTTATGTAGTGCTGTCAAAGTTTTGCTTTCATTTGATCACCCCATCCTCTTTCAAGAGGTAACAGATTTCTTCCTTGATTTAATATATGAGGAGCGGAAGGCAAAAGATGAACATGTCTCTTGTATTCGAATTCTTTGCAAGTCATGCTCTGATACCTCCTGCATCTGATAGGATTTATTTTGGATTTTTTAGAAAAAGACCTTGTTGAGCTGCTGTTTCAAGGGAGCTGGTGGGGAGAGAACAAACATTTCAAACAACACATTATTTTCTTCATTCAGTACGTCCGGTCAGCTGTGCTAAATAACCCTAATTCCATGACAGATACTATTTTGTGTTTATTTCTAGCTGTGCTACCCAAGCTAAATATTTCTCTTCATCAGTCCTGCTACAGATATGAGGGCATTTGTTTGCTTAAGTTTTTAAAAAATAAAAAAGATGATCTTGTTAACAAGTAAGGTCTAAAGTAATAAAGGATGGCTCAACATGATAGAACCTGAGGAATTCCTGTGTGATGTATTGTGTAATGAATAGTTCCCTTCATTTAATGTAAATCAACATGTAAGCTGAGTTCTACATGCATTCCCACAATGTTAGCCACAGAAGTGCAGCCTAGAAAGAAAGGAACAAGAGAGGCAAATTAAACCAAAATATATTCAATATCCTTGGGAATCTAAAAGAATGTTGCTGCTGAAGACTAGATGTAGTATTATTGCTTTCTGCCACTGACTGCTGAACATCCCATCAGGCAGCATTCATAGTATTTGGGGCTATTCTTGGTATGAAGTGTATAAACCTTTGTCTGGGGAAAAAAAATGCTAAGTGACTCTGTAGGCCCCATGCTAGTGCTGTCCTTAGTCAGGTTTTAAAATGACAATATAACACTTCTACTGATTTATTATCATTAGATGAAGAAATCCTAGCATGTACAAAAGTTCCATTGTGAATTAACCTTTTCTTATTCCAGTACTGTATAATATATGAAATACAGTTCTCAAGCTTACCAGTGATGGTGTTTAAAACACCTGACCCTTCCATCGTTTGAGTTATTTTAAACGTATGTAACATTTCATCAAGGGGATGTTAATATCTAAAGAAGTTATTCCTTTAGACATAAGTAGTTGAAGCTTGTGGTTAGGGAACTGAAGCTCCAGAGCCCTGTCTCCACTGGTAACCTGCGGTAAAGATATTTCAGAGTTATGAGTAGCATAATATGCAAAGATTAATACTGGCAAAAAGTCAGGAGCTGTATTTTCACTTTTCCTGATGAATTGGAGATTTGTAACTTATAGTGTAATTTCAAAGTGTAGCAATCTTGAAAATAACTAAAATATAGGTCTATTTTCAGTTAGATTTTAGCAACAGGGATAAATATCTCAGTATTTAATTTTTAGAATGTAGAATGGTTAGAAGGGGTACAGAATTCATAGGATTAGGTACAGTGGGAAAAGCTATTGCACTAGTTTCA